CTAACCATCGATTTTGTTTTACTATATCTTGACACTAAGGGCTTCTATGGAGGCCACACAGGAGGAGTTCTACTGTTTCTGTGTGGTCTTGCTATTCTCATTTACTAAGATTTTATTAGAAACATATTTCTGATTATTTTTTTTACAAGTAAACTTAAATAAATCCAGTAATCAATACAATGAATACAAGAAGCTTTATTGACTTTCATTAGTTTAGAGAATTTTGTATAAAATGCTGATGTATGAAACCTCATTAAAATATCATATGTATACTGAAAATATTTGCATTTATATAAATTTACTTCAGAAAATTTTGAAAATGTTAATAAAAAAAATTTAGTGTAATTATTATTATACAGTTAAAAAAAAATAAAAAGTTGGTAAACAAAGCAGTACCTTATGTTTCAATTTTAAATTTTCCAATTTAGGGTTTTCATTTTGACATTTTTTTTTAAATTGACCTGATTTTAATTATTCAAATAAATTTTTAAAATATGCAAAACTTATTCACATCTATCTATCTCTATCTATCTATCTATCTATCTATCTATCTATCTATCTAATTGCATACCTGGTGCCTTGTAACCCTGAAGTCTCTACTGCGCTGTCTGTAGACACCACTCATACTTCATCTCAGGATCATCAGCCCTATTGCTTCCCTCTTCATAGTCCTTTGCCATCTCATTACTGATCTTCTCCTACTTTTTTCTTCAGTAGCCCAGGCCAGTGCCACATTGCAGCTATTGGAAAAGGCATGGGCAACCTTTTTCGAGCAGTAGGCCACATGATCTATGGGTTGCACTGCTAAAAAGATTCAAAATAATCTTTTGTCGTAGGTCAGTCTGTAATGTGCCATGTGTGATACACACTTAGGCGATCGTGTAACTTTCTATACATGACTGATGAGGCAGATTTTTTCCTTGAAAAGTTTTGCCATTTTTTTTTCTGGGTAGACCAGTTGCCATCCAAGGCTATAGAATCCGGTCTTCCCTACTATTTACCCATAGCTGGGGGAAGAAGAGGATTCATACCTTTCCCAAGTGGACATAATGGATTCAACTGGAATTCAAACTCGGCTCTCTGATTCCTCAATCCAAGCCACTCTACAGTTCTCAGCTATTTTCACTACAGAAAACCACATGTGTAAGCATATACCTTAGAAATGTTAGGAAAGTTTTATTTTTTAGAAAATATTTTTTTTTATAATTAAAAAATTGAGATCTTGGTATAATCACTAATGACAGTGTGATTACCACATGTTGTTACGTGGGATTTATTTCTAATTTATTCATTTGAAAATGAAAAGAATTCTCCTTTAGAGAAAAAATTTTTATGAATAACTTTTTTAGAACCATAAGGAAACCTGTTTCAAAAGATGTTTACATGTATGATCTCCCTTAGTGAAAATTGCCAATGGTTTAAAATACTGACAACATTAGTTCACCGAAAGTTTACAAAAATTTTAAAAAATCATTGTACTTAATCATTGTTTATGTATGTGGTTATGTCTGAGAGAGTATGTGAGTGAACAAGTGAGAACAAAACAAAATAGAATTTTAAGAAATGTTTTTTTACTTATGAAATTAAGCATGCCATTCAGAAAAGCTGTATGTCGTCTATGGGCTACAGTTTGTTCGTGACTGCCTTAGAATGTGGCCTGTGAACTTCCATCTGCTTTACTATACCTTGACACTATGGGCTTCTATGGAGGCCACACAAGAGTAGTTCTACTGTTTCTGTGTGGTTTTGCTATTCTCATTTACTAAGATTTTATTAGAAACATATTTCTGATTATTTTTTTTACAAGTAAACTTAAATAAATCCAGTAATCAATACAATGAATACAAGAAGCTTTATTGACTTTCATTAGTTTAGAGAATTTTGTATAAAATGCTGATATATGAGATATCCAGATTTTATTTTTTTCTGATTAATTCTTCACAGTAAAATTTTTAAAATCTGAAAAAAATTCAAACTCAAATATCTCCATTTCTGTAAATTGGATAAAATAATTTTTTTTAACTCAGTTTATTCTTCAGTAGTTCTTCCTTTTTAATGATATAAAACTTTTAATTGCAATTTAAATACTCAATATCAGTTTTGCAAAAGTCTGATATATTCAAAAACAAATAAAATGATTAATAGTGACCTATAAGTAAGAAGAAAGAAAAAAATAATTACTGTAATGTGTAAAGAGATAAAAGAAAAAAAAACAATTATGTTCACTCTTCGGAAGTCTATCAAAGAATAAAAAAAGGTGTGTCCATTACATTTTTTCTCTTTACTCTTCATTTCTTATTAATTTTATTTGTAATTTGTCTGTGTTACAGCTATAATAACATTTTTGGGCCTCCAGGAAATTATTTAAGTCTGACAGTGCATAAATAGCTAATTGATGCATAGGTATAAACATATGACTATTTATAATTACATATGTTCAGAGTATATCATAATTTGAACTCAAGGTATTCAAATATCATACTGTATGGATATGAATGCATATTTTTATATATATATATATATATATATATATATATATGAATTTTTAAAGTATAAATCTAAAAAATTTATTTTTAATGAAGTAAAATTACCAGTTGAATTTTACAATTATTTTGGGGTAAATCAGTCATTCTTAAACTATCTGATATAGCGTACTGGCATTTTTTTGTTCTCAATGTGTCATGTACCTGTAATATTTCGTGGTAATATTAATCTATACCAGAAATGATATATATAATGAATATAATAAAAGTTTACAATTCAATATGAAAACATAAAAAGTTATAAAAAATAAGCTTCAAATGATTCCTTAGCATGGCCTTGACACTGGCCATGTACTGGTAGCTGATGGTTCATTTGGTGGCACCAGTTCACAGACCTCCACTTAGTAGCATTGAGCTAAATAAACAAAAAAGGAATTTTATCTAAATTAACTAAGAAAAACATTTCCAATGTTTTTTAATTACAGTTGGATTCCAAATTTTATAGAATTACTACAATGGATATTTATTCTTCTATGTGCCATGTCTCTTCAGGGCATTGGTGATGATGGCTCTCCACTATTTCCAGTCCTTTGTAGCTCTTAATAAATTTTGTCTTTTTGTCATCTCTCCTAAACCTTACTTTGCCATCCATTTACTCAAGATTGCTAGGTATGTTCTGCATTGTTTTCCTTTTGCCTTCAATCTGTCCTGTGAGTATCAAATTTTCCAAACTCTCTTTCCTCATTATGTGCCTTAGAAATTTCAGCTATCTCTTTCTGGTGTTAAGTATAAGTGTCCTTTTGTTTCCATTTTCTCTAAAACTTCATCATTGCTCACATGAGGAAATTGTCCAGCATTTACTACCATATAAGATGACAAATATTACATAACAGTTCAGTACTCTTTGCTTTGTTTCTTACACAATAGACTAGGGCCGAAATTTGAACTCTTTTCTACATTTCCATTTTCAGTCCTGATAACTGTTAAACTATGAGCATATCTATCATGTAGAATCTTCTATGTGCCATTTCTCTTCAGGATGTGGCAATTTCTTGTCCTTTGTAGCTCTTAGTAAAGATTGTCTTTTTGCTATTTTGCCTAATCCTTGTCTGCTAACATTTACACAAGCTTGTTAGGTAGGTTATTTGCTGCTTTTCTCCATCCCACTTGCCTGTAATAGGTCCTGTGAGTATCAAACTTTCTAAGCCATCTTTCCTCATTATGTGCACTAGAAATTTCAAATGTCTCTTTCTGATTCTTAGTATGTGTCCTTTTTGTTTCCATTTTCCTTCAAACTTCATTGTTGCTCACGTGATCTTGGTCCATAGTATTCTCATCATCCTTCTGTAGACTGATTATTATGTAATATATATATGAGAGGATCAAATTAGAACAGTTTACTTATTTTCTCATTTATATATATATATATATATATATATATATATATATATATTAATATAAATTAAAAAAAATGATTTCATTGTTACACCAATTTTGTTTCAAAAAACAGAAATCAAAAACTTCAAATTTAATTATATTAAATTAAAAGCATTAATTCTGTTTTTGAAACATGGTAATTGCTGTGTAACGATGAAACCATATTTTTAAATCAGTTAATTTATAATATTTATGCTCTGTAAATTTACATTGAGCACGGTTTTGTAAAAATAAAGATATCATTAAGAACACTGGGTTACATATCTTAATGTTTTTCCTTTTTTTACTATAATATATATATATGTGTGTGTGTGTGTGTATGTATGTATATGTGTGTGTTAAGTATAAGAATATAAGTATATATGTGTGTGTGAAGTATAAGAATATAAGTATATATGTATATGTGTGTGTGTTAACTTTTGTAATTGCCTTTTCTTGACATTTCAGATTTTACTTATAATTTTTTGCTTGAATGTGTGTATTTGTGTATGCACATACATATTAGGGTGGACTGAAAAGTTCTCAGCCCAACCAAAAATCTGATGTTTGGTCAGATTTTGGGTAAGTTGTTTGGCTTGAGAGATTTTCAGCATACCTTCATGTACATTCATTTGTGTCCATATAATCTGATATGAAAATTCTTTTGTCTCCAGTGTGTATTTCATCTTTAATAAGTTGTTTACACTTTAAACAGTTAACATGTAAAAATAACATAGTGAAATATTAGTATGCAAAGTACACTTTAGTTTTATAAATCTACAAAAGTTGAACTAATTGTTGGATTTCAATACAAAATGTTTTTATATTTTTTTGGCTAACCATATTGTGGCTGAATTTTATGGACTCTCAGTAAAAATATCATTTGGTTGAAAATGCTAAAAATATTTGTATTTATATAAAGTTCCTGAAATAATTTTTGGAAATGTTTATAAACATGATCATTTTGTACAATTTAAAAAAATAAAAGGTTGCTAAACAAAGCATTACCTTATTTTACAATTTAAAATTTTCTAATTTGGGATTTTCATTTTGACATTTCTTTTTCAAAAAGTTAACCTGATTTGAATTGTCTCTTAAAACATGCAAATCTTATCCGCATTATCTATCTATCTATCTATCTATCTATCTATCTATCTATCTATCTATCTATCTATCTATCTCAGTCTGTTCATATCTATCTATCTATCTATCTATCTATCTATCTATCTATCTATCTCAGTCTGTTCATATCTAAGTCTGTTCATATCTATCTATCTATCTATCTATCTATCTATCTATCTATCTATCTATCTATCTATCTCAGTCTATTCATATCAATTTCAGTCTATTTAGCTATCTATTGCCTAATAGCATGTAAAGCATCTACAGAAAGTATCCACTCTACCCTGTTCACAAGTGCTGTTCACACTTTACCCATTACCATGTATTTTTTAACACACACATAGATATATAAATAATGCATGTGGGTGTCATATATACATATAAATTTTTTTTTTTTTTTTTTTTTTGGTTGACAGATGATTTTCCATATTTTGTTGCTGAATGTACAAAGGAATTGTCCACAGTACATTTTAAAGTTCCAAGTTTTAGATTGGCTTCAGTCAATTAGATGAAATTCAAAGTCCATATCTTTTGAATGTCATATGAGTATGATATTGTTTTTCACAGTTTTAAAACACTGGTGTCATATGACTGTCACATTGTGTGAGTTCTGAAAATATCTTTTCATAAAATTTATTTGAAGGAACATCTGCTGTTTAAACACACACACACACACACACACACACATAGGAAAATGATATATAAATTTTTGTATATCAAGAACAATCCTTCATGTGCATGTGTAGTTGCATTAACATAACCATCACTTTAGTTCTATGAAGGATGAAATATATCACTTAAAACCTTACCCATTTTATCACAGATTTCCCTAATATATATATATATATATATATATATATATATATATATACACACACACACACACACACACTACACACACACACACCACACACACACATATATATATACATATATCTATATATATTATCCACAGCTTCAAGTACAATACTCAATACCTTATTTGAAAAATGCAAGAAAAAATTAAAGTCTGATACTGTTGATTCTTTTTAAACAAACTTGTTTATATGAATACTTGCATGCTTAAATATACCTTTATATATATATATATATATATATATATATATATATATATAGGATTGATGCAAATATAAATGTTACTTAGCTGGTTGATGTTATGTTCAGTACCTCAACTCTAGATTTTGATATTATAAACCATTTTGTAATTGTTCAATCCACTCATCAGGAGGTTTCAGCAATTTACACTGTACATACATATATACACAATAAAATAATAAATAAAATTAAATGTTTACTTATCTTGCCTATACTTACTTTGGCAGAATTAAACCCTTTCTTCAGTTCTCTAATTTCTGAATATCTTGCAGATTTACCTCGGTCAGCCACTTTTTTACTTTTTCTTCAAATTACAATCATATGATAGACTCTCCCATCGATTTTGATGTATGAGGCCCAACAGTTTAGTTTAGAAGGGAATTGCACACACAGATGATTTAATTATAGTGTCAAAGGCTTGTGTAGAACCAGTCACAAATTTCAGATAAACTAATAACAGAGAAATCATGTCCAACATTCTATGAAAACCCTAAACAGTTCGCCTGGTGTTTATTACTTTAGAAGTTAGCTTCTTCTTAATAATATCAGCACTTAAGGATTGTGTATGTATATAAACAGGTATACGTACATACACGGACACACATATTTAATTATAGACTACTCTACTGTTATTTAGCGTTTTTGTTTTTTTTCTTAGCCTTTATTTTAGAAGAATTTAAGTTTATGTATTCAGTTGATGCCAAAATGTCTTATGCTCTTGCACAATATTTTGAAAAATTAAAAATGTCTTTTTAAAGTTTACATAGCACTTTATTGTTTACAATGAATTTTTTTTTTAGGATTATTTGCTGGTTTACCTTGACTCTCAAAATGATAACATAAATAAATTTTTCATCACAGTTATAATTGTTGTACTCCGATCTTTTGTGGAATCATTATTTCACTTTCCACATTTGTAAATAACTTGTCAGCTAGTGTCATAACAAAAATATTGATACCTGATGTCATCAGTGAAGGGAAATAGTTTTCTCATCATCATCAGTACCTGCTTGCATCCAAATCCCTATAACCCTCTCTCCCTATTCTCTTTCTCCCCCACCTGGTGGAAGTGGCAGAGATAGCTGTAAATCAAAGAGAGTGCAATGTGTCCATTCGTGGGAATTTGATTTTGGTGGACAACTGTGTGACAGAGAAGCCCAAAGAGGATTGAGACAGGCGAGATCTGGCAAACTTGGTTGCATCATGCTGTCAGATGCTTAGTCTGTCAAGGTTCATCTTTGTTATGCCAGCCTGACAGGTGCTACTCTCTTCTGCCGGTTTGGACATTGAGATTGTGTATTTGCCCATCCCACCGTTTGGGTCTCCCAGGGGTTGGTTTCATTCAGTCTGGTCCCTCCACCTCAACTTTACAACCATGAGTGGCCCTACAGGAGTTGGAACTCTAGACAGCTTCACTCTTACGATCACTGGGACATGCAGATACTCTACCATGACAATGTTGAAATATTTTTCTAATATAGCAAAAAGCCACATGTTTCAATTTGTGCAAGGGAGATAACTCTATAAAATAAAAATTTGTTGTTACAAGTGCAAGGGAGTCAACTTTAGTCTGAGAAAAAGTTACATAAATAAAAAAGTCATAGATTATTATAGAGCAAAATTTCAACTTAATAGCAACTATTTTGATACCTGTTCTTTTTGGCTGACAGCAAAATGAACAAATTGTTTACTCATTTAAAATATTACATTTATTAAAAAATATATTCATTTTGAATACAGAAAGCCGGTCACATCATGTTGAGCCTGGCCAGTACTTAGATGGGTGACCCCTTGGGAATACCAAATGCTGTAAGCATGGACATGCTGGTGGTGTAATGGATAATGGCTCAATTGTTAATCAGAGATCCGAGTTTCAATTCCTGTTGTCTTCATTATATTCACTTACATGCAAATACACTTAGGAAAGGTATGAATTCACTTCTTCTCCCCCCATCTATGGATTAATTAGTAAGACTTATATCACTAAACCATTATTACCTAAAAAAAATTCTTGCAATTTAAGAATATTTCCTGACATTAAATAACCTGAAAAGTTTGGAAAACAAATCAATCAATCAATTAATCAATCAATACAGAAGAAGTCATAAAAATGACTTTGAAGGGCTGCACATTTTAACTTATCATCTTTTCCTGTTGCCAGACAAAAAGGGAAATTAATCCTCCCAACATAAATGTCTATCTCAATTTTATTCTAATTGTGTTTGTATGTACATTTGTGTTTGGGCATGTATATTTTAATTCAATGATATGCCTAAAAATATGTCTACAAAATTTTTTTAAATAATTTTAAAATAATTCTATTTATTGACTAATAATTTCCATAATGTTCAATAAAATCTCTTAATTATCACAAGTTTTTTTTTTGTCTCTAACTTTTATTTAAATTGCTCAGTCCACATTTGGGATTGTGCATACTGAGTAGAAGGGGAATGCATTATTTCAAACTCATTCAAAATGTGTGTACATGTGCTTGCATATACATTAAATGACACAACCACATGTATGTCACTAACACACAACACAGACATATACATATAAAGACACATTGTAAAAATATTATAAAATAAGCTATAAATAAAGGATTGATTCTTTGTCCATCACACATGCATGTGATGGTCAGAGAATCAATACTTAATTTATGTTTTTTTATTATATTTTTTATATCTTTTTTATCAAAAGAAATCTTTTATGATATTGTTATGATGTTGATTTGAGGTTAGTAAAGACAAACACCAAATAACACGTAACAATAAAAAGGGGTTTATTAGGTTTGTAAGTAGGTACAGAAATCGCCTGAGTAGTCTATAACTAGTTCAGCCAAGAACTTCTCTGACTCTGTCTGTCTTTTGACATGCCACTATTTAACGTCCTTGTTTGTAGACAAGTTCATCTTCAAGAGGGGTGGTAGGTTTCCTACACAACAGATATTTTTATATTTTTTACTCTTTTTGTTTTAAAAAAAATATCTTTTATAATTTTTTATATATTTTTTTTAGAATTTTTATATTTTTTAAATATCTTTTTTATAATATTTTTATCATATTTTTGATATCTTTTTTAAATCTTTTGTAATATTTTCATGATATTTCTGTATCTTTTTTAAATATCTTCTTTTATAATATTTTTGTCTTTAAATATCTTTTATATTTGTATCATATATTTTACATTTTTTTAAATATCTTCTTAATAATATTTTTTCTTTAAATATCTTTAATAATATTTTCATATTTTTTTAATACCTGTTTTTAAATTTTTATATTTTTTTATATCTTCTTTAATACTATTTTTATGATATTTTTATATCTTTTTAAAAATATCTTGTATAATATTTTTATGTGTTTTATATTTCTTTTCTTTTCTTTACATATCTTCTTTTATAATATTTTTATCATATTTTTTATATTTTTTAAATATCTTCTAAATTTTTATATATTTTTACAAATATTTTCTTTTATACTCTTTCATGATTTTTTTAATATCATTTTTTAAAATGTCTTCCTTTATAATATAATGCTTTTATCACAATTTATCAGATCATTATCGATCTTAGAATTGTTTGTGAAAAAGTAATAATTTAATCATCATGGCTGACTATAAAAAGCATAGTACTATTTAATTTGGGTAAAAATGAATCAGAGGTGAAACATTAAATCAGGAAAATTTATAGCAATGATGCTATAGTTACATTACTTAGGAGTAGTATATAAATTCACTTTTATATGTTTAAGTTTTACAATTTATTTTTTGAAACAATGAACATTGTTAAGGAGTGACAGTAGTTAAAATAATAGTGGTATCAAGGGAAAAACTGTTCTTTTGACACTATTTTTTTTGCAGTCATGAAGGTTCAAGTTTGTCAAAAAGTTTAGTATTTACTAATTACACATCCTGAACTTTTATGATGGATTCAGTCTATGTGCCATCATTGCCTTTATTACAATTCCAGATCCAGTGACATGCAGAGGTTTGGTAATGTTTGGTGATGCCCAGGGCCAACTCCTTGATTGTATGCCCCTAAACACTCAAGTAGGGGGTGGGGGGCTATATGTCCTAGTACTTAGATATGTGAGAAAAGAAGACATTTT